TTATATAAATATATACCATCTGGGCTGGGGTTGTGGCTCAGCAGTAGAGTGCTTGCCTAGCTCGTGTGCAAGGCACTGAGTTTGATCCTCAGCACCACATAAAAGTAAATAAAAAATATGAAGGTATTATGTCCAACTACAACAACAATTTTTTAAAATATATCATCTGAAGTGATTCCCACAATTTGTAAGATGTTATCAGTCCATTTTACATTTGAGGAACCTCAAGAAAATTTAAATTGACCAAAGTTGTAATTAGTAAATGGCAAAGTTCAACCCATCTCCTGATGCCCAAATCAATTTTTTTTTCTGTCCTACTTTGGCTATCTATTTCTAATCTCTATTTTATTTTAGATCAAGATTGAATATGTTCTCCTATGTAGATAAATATTTCATATATGTAGTATTTAGCATAGGAAAGTATGTAACCTGGGTCTCTTAAGTCTTTTCTCTGAACTGTATCTTGCAAATCCCTGATACACTGAGAGAGCTCGCACTTGAATAACCAGTGAACTTCACAGTACAACCTAATGGTTAGAATCCTATTACAGAAATGCCTAGTTCCTAGGAATAAGGAGTGTTGAACAAGTAATGCTTATTCTATTAAGAACCTTTTAAAGTTTTTTTTCATAAGAACTATCCATAATTTTAAAATTTTAAATTGGAAAATACTGTAAATATGATTTTTTTAAATGCCCCAAATTGCTTTATCAGCAGAACCATATTTCCCCACTCCACAAAAATCCTGTTCATTCCATGAAGAGGGGCGAAACAGGGAATCCATCCTTGCCCTGCACAAGGCCACCAGCCTTAGAGGAAGACACAGCATAAACCAATTCAACATCTGCAGCCATAGTGAAGACTTTGGGGGGTAGTACCAGCTGAAGGGATGATGTGGATTTGAGACTGCCAATTGTAACATTATTACCAAATGCAAGTTTACCTGAAAATGAGCCCCAGTCAGGCTAAGAGGTGGATTTAAGAATAAGCACTATTGGGGCTGGGGTTGTGGCTTAGTGATAGAGCATGCACCTAGCACATGCAAGGCCCTGGGTTTGATTCTCAGCACCACATAAAAATAAATAAATAAAATAAAGGAATTGTGTCCAATTACAACTAAAAAAAAATTTAAAAAAAGAATAAGCACTATTAATTCAATCTCCCAATCCAACCACTTTCCAAAGTCAAGTCAAAAAGTAATTTCCTTATTTTTCTTAAACTAATTTGAGTTTCTCCAAAGAATACTAATGTAAAACTCTTTCTAAAATGTCTTCTTTGGATTTATTATATTGAGTGTTGAGTGCAATTTACTACCCGCATAATATAATGTATAATCTGCAACTTATACATTGTCCTAAATGTAAAAATGGGAGTAAAATAAAGTAGTAGTTACTTGGCAAAGCTTTGTGAGGAATAAATGAGCTAAAACACAGAATACCAACTGCCATTTTGAGCATTTAACAAACATAAATGCCCTTCTTTGGTTTTTCCAAAACAACAACAAAATAGTTAACATTTGAGTAATTCTGGCTCTAAGTTCATCAATGTGTGTAGCTACCATGAAGTAGGTCCTCTCATTAGAGATGTCTCAGTTTTATAGTTTATCCAAGGAGACACACACCACAGGAGAACTGGGGTATGAATGATCACATTATACAATCATAGAGTCCTGTTATCTGGATTTTGTTTTCTTTGCTGTGAGGCTCTCACCTCTCCTATGTCACCAAGCTCATCTTTAGAAAATCTTTTCAAAGTTTAGTATTTCTCTTCTTCTGTGGAAGAGCTCATCAATTTCACTGCACATTTAATATTGAATAAATAATAAGTGCAGATCTGAGAGGTACAATATACGGATAATATGGAGATTTAGAAGCTGTTTATATATTGTGCAAAGCATAGTATTGATGTGTATATATTTGCTCAACTTTCAGTTATTCCCTAAAATAAATGCATAATTAGCCATGATAATACATAAGTACTCAGTAAACATTATAATGTGCCAGGCACCCAGCCAAACATTAACCTAAGTATTTCATTTACTCATAACCACCATCAGAATTATCAGCGTATGCTGTTGTGCTGGAGAATGCCTGTAATCTCAGTAGCTTGGGTGGCTGAAGCAGGAGGATCAAGAGTTCAAAGTCAGCCTCAGCAAAAGTAAGGTGCTAAGTAACTCAGTGAGACCCTGTCTCTAAATAAAATACAAAATAGTATTGGGATATGCCTCAGTGGTCAAGTGGCCCCAAGTTCAATCCCAGGTACCAAAAAAAAAAAAAAAAAAAAAAAAAGAACTATTGTAAAAGATCAATAGAAGCTGTAGTCCCTGGATGCACAGGGAGCAGTGGGAGGACAATGTTCAGTGTATGAGGGCCACACCCATCAGGCTAATTCCCCACACTTGCCTGCCACCTAACACACTGTGGAGCACCCAGGAAGTGCCCAAATCTTCAACAACAAAAAAATTATCTCTAATAAGAGGACACTTTCAGATTATATAAAAGGGGACTATAAAATGAGAAGGGCATGTATTGTGTAGCACAGAAAATATTTTTAAAGGCATTCTTTGTTGACAATTTGTGGTACCTCCTTTAATCCTAAAATGTTTTTATGGTCACTATGAAACATATTTCCCTTCCTCTCTTTCTCAGGCAGATTTACATGATCTAGCCACCTAACAGCCAGCCAGTGATATCAGAAGCCTAGGGCTATATAGCTGAAAATAAGTGAAGAGGATGATCAGAAAAACTGAGTTGCCATGAAACAAGTTTGTGTTTATTTTATGACCAATTGAATTCTCCACACCCTCAACCCCCCTTTTTTATTATTATGAGCAATATTGCCATTATGATACATTATGATAGCTATAAGAGTGAAAAGATTAATTAAAACAGTAATTATCTGATAAGACTAGCATCCCTTCTAACCTGATTTAGGGCAAATTCATCTACTTCAACTAAAAATACTGGACAGGGAAAAGAAACATGAATAATGAAATAATAATTAACCCTGAAGTTCTTGTTTCCACTATATATTTCTAAGTAACCTAAGGTATCAAATAAAGAGTCATAGTATGTTTTTAACTTTTATTAACAAGAGTTTTGAGTACAAATAAATTAACTTGACATTTAGAAAAATGATTTACTCTAAAACTTGTCCATTTAAAAAAAAACCCTATTCTGTACATTTTAATCTCCAATTTTAATATTTAACACCATAATGTTTTTAAGTCTACAACTCAATTTTAGGTTTAATTTTAATAATTGTCTTATTGCATCTGGTTAAAGATATCATGTAGAAAAAAAGCAAGAGACTAATTAGAATAACCTGAATAAAAAAACTTTCCCAAAAGCCTTTATAAAAAGTCTTACAACATAAAAATTAGAATAGTTTTGGCAGAAAATTAGCAATTATAAAATTATTACATAATATTTTATCAAGAACTGTATTATAAATACTATTATGCTTATTACACATATTAGAATGATTTGCAATGTAGTAAATGCAGATGTAGAAAATCTAAGAAAGCTTTTTAAAACAGTTTAGCACTCTGGGGAGTTTCTGTTCCCAATAAATGACAGGAACACAATTTATAAGATGATAGGTGGTACATCTTTTAATTAGAGGCCTAACCACATAAAGCATTAGTCATAAAATGTTATTCTCTACTAAGCATTTGTAACATCTCCAGATACACTAGTAATTCTTTCCCCTTATCAGTATACATGCTTAGCATCAGAAACCATACTATGAGCAAATTATACAGATAACTCTTGAAAAAATAGCTCACTTTGGAATAACTGTCAAACTTAAGTTTTTATTCTTCTGGACACACTCTTTCCTCCAATCTTCATTTTAACAGTGTTTTCTCCTTGACTGGTGATATATTATTAAAACCCAATCATACCCAGCATATTCCTTTGCAGCTGAAATGAATTACAAATAACCAAAAGAAAACCAATGCATTTCTACAGAAAACTATCCAACCTACTCTGCAGGGCAGAAGCTCTCTACCCCCCACCAAAAAAAAAAAMCCCACCTTTTATCCAAGGCTGCTTTAAAACTAGTCCTGTAAGTCCAATTAGTATTATACTATTATTGTCTCCTCAGTGTGAGGGAAGTTCAAATCTTAAAAAGTATTAAAATTTTCAAATGACACTACTCTCTGTAAACATAATTGAGTTGAAAATCTTTCAACTCAAGATTGAGTTGAAATGAAGTTTTTTTCTATTTCTTGTATTTGATATGAAATYTTACACCCAGTCACTGAGATATAAAGAATGTATGAGAACAAGTAGAATTACACTGTACCCAGGTCTCTGGGGAGAAATGCCAGAGAACGGTCCACATAGAAACTGTATTCTGAAATTCACCTAAGATGCTAACAGAATTGTAGTTAAGTGATTTCAGGATATTGTAATTGAGAAATGAGTAGTGTTTAACTGTGAGTACTTTCAGAGGAATGGGAAGTCCCAATGTTGTCACAGCTACCACTCAAGAACAACTCAGCCTTGCCACTTAAGATAGGGACCTTCACCCCTATCCATAGAAGGCAGGCTTCTACATGGCATCAGATTTCTACCACCTGGACTCTACCTTTCTCACCACAGTGTCTTTCACCCTTAATTTTCATTCAGTAATCAGTGAGAAGATTATATTTATCTGTGAGAATCTAACCAAAATAAATAGGGATAAAAGTAGAAAACAATTTCCAATGAAGTAAACTTGCCATACAGCTAGTTTAAGAGGTAAAACATTTCTAAGTAAAAATGAGAGAATATTTTTGGTTTCATTCAAAAAAGCTTTCTTCATTCCTGGCAAACTACTACGTTGTGTAGATATAATGTACTTTTTAAAAAAATCCTTTTTTTTTTTAACTGTATTTAACTACTTGAAATCATTCCTTAATAAGGACCTTTTAACATTAAAAAGTCTAAATGTTTATCATAAATACTGTATTAAAATATTTTAATATTTACAATTTGAAAAAATGTATACCCTAGTCAGTCATCTCAGTGCTACTTCTTCAATTTCATCTTCTACAGAATCAACTGCTTTTACTGCTGGTTTATTGTTTGCATGTTTTAATCGGTGTCTATTTGGATTAAAACTTTTTCCTTCACCAAGGAAATAGTCTTCATCTTCATCATGTTCTCTACCCCTGTTGCTTTTATCTCCAGGGAGAAAATTTAGAGACTCAAAGTCTCCTTTGCTGGCAGCCAGAGAATTTGGGTCACTGCTTTTAGAGGAAATGGGACTGCTGCCACTAGTACCAAATAGCTGTTCCATCAGATTGGCTTTTTTTTCTTTTCTTGCAATGAAATCTGCACTGTCTTTACTAAGGTCTTCCATACTGTTTTTTTTTAAATCCAAAAGGCAACTTTTTTGGCTAAATGGATTTGACTTCCCTGGTGTTTTTGCAAATGAAGGCACATAGCTACCAAATGCAATCTCATTTGGAGAGATTGGACTTCTAATATTTCCTGAATTCCGACCCTCTCCTTTTGGAGTAAAAAAACTTAYGTCTTGCAATTGATGCCCATTAAATAATCTCTCTGAGGATTCAGAGAACATGTATGTTTTGGAGATTTTCTCTGAGGAATGCAGTTTTGATCCCAAATCAGGTATTAATGGCAAAAGAGGACATTTTAGATTCTGAGAATCTTGAAGTTCTCTGTTGATTTCATTCAGTTTAGCAAGTAGCATTTCTCTCTTCAGTCTTTCTTCTTCTTCCTCTTCCAATTTATCAATACTTTGAAGTTCATACATTTCCATTTGGTAGTTTCTAGTCTCCAACTCGGGCTCCTCTTCTCCCTCTTTCTGCTTTTCATTAAGTTCTTCTCTTTCCCACTCTGTATGAAATAAAAAATTACAAACTGTATTTTATAGCAATCAGTATTTTTTTAAAAAGGGAAAAAACCTACCATATTTTATAATACGACTATTTTTATCTAATTTTAGTATTAAAATAGGGTTCAAATGGACATCATAATATTTCACTTTTATATTTGTTTTTCGGGAATAATATATTTAATGTGTACTTCATTTAAGAATCACACTTATAGAAAAACTTGTTCTTCAAAGTATGGATAGGGAAGGTTCTCATTTATTTAAATAACTAATATGATGCTATACATTTTAAGGTGGGTGACAGGATGGATGCAATTGAGCAAAGAGTTTTAAAGTTAAACCCTTGGATGTCATATCTTGAGAAGGGCACAATACCACTTACATAGTGTTCGACAGCAGATGCGTACAGGCACTAGGTATACAGTTCACTCTTAAATAGTTTTTTGGCTACTCATGCCACTTTCTGTAATTTTGAAGTTATTTCCCAAATTAAACATTAAAAATACTAAAGTATACAAGAATACCACAAATGTGATAACTTCAGTAAATGGCATACATTCTCATTAATGTCAGATCAATCCATATACACTCAAAAAAAWATAGTCAAAAGGACAAAAACAAGTGACAGTCTTCTGCTATTTTATTCCTTTTCCTGTTACCTAGATGGAACTGACCATAATACCTAATTTTCTGTTCTGTAGTTAAACATGTGAAAGCATCTTGTTCTGTCCATTAGCCAACAGTGATGTAAATATGGCTTCTATTTCAATAGTTACACAGTGTTTACAATCACTGGGTCATGATTTTATGTTCCATGAATTTCCATGAAAGAAAAAGAAAGAAAAAGGATTTCTTTATAAGCAGATACTATACAACTAATGGAAATAGAATACATTCAAAAGATTATAGAGTTGAGCTGAGGCTGGTAGCACAGTGATAGAGCACTTGCCTAGCCTGTGCAGGCAGGTCCTAGGTTCAATCCCTAATGTAACAAACAAATAAATAAAAAATCCCTCTTGCCCATACTTTTATGACATTTAATAAAGATGAAAATGAAAGTATTCTTGAACTTCATTTCAGTATCTAAACTTATAGGAGTTATTTCACTAAACTTCTACATAATGATTGAACATATTTAAGATTTACTTTGCGAATTAAAATCAAATAAAAATTGCAAGGATACATTCAGGTCCTCGTATTTCATTGATTTTTACATTTAAGCTAGTCCATGGTATAGAGTCCCAAGGCTGAACCAATAAATAAAGCTATTTTTCAGCTATTTCTTCATCAAGTTTTAATTCATACACAAAGATTTTCCCCCTTTATTTGAATTGTTTCATCTGAATTTTTTGTTTTTTGTTTTTTTTTTTTTTTGAAAAAAAATTCGACTTTTATTCTTATAAAGTTCCTCAAAATAGATGAGTCTATTTGGTGTCAATTTCACATTTTTGTGGGAAATTTACTTACATTCCTAAATATGTAAGCTTAAAACTATATAATTTTCAGAAGTCTATATCATCTCTAATCTGTACAGTTTGTC